TCTTTAACCCAACAAACTCCCCCTAAAAATATAGCTGGCTTTTCTTGTCAATCTTCATTTGGAGCTTGGCTTCAACTTTTTGTCTTCTATACCTTCACGATTTCAAGATGAGCATATGAATCTTCTAAGTGAGTGACTTCATCTTGAATAGTTAGGCATTTCTTCAAAATTTAACTCTGAACGCACATTTGGGTGAGGAGGCTTAATCTAGAGATTCTTGAAAAATGGCGCTTTCACATTAAGAATCTTTAGAGAGAATATCAGAGAGAACGAATCTTCTGGATCACTTTAGCAAGTACATAGACAGCAGCAAATTGATTGAGGAGGCTTCAATGCAATATGTCACATAGTCTTCAAATACAGCTTCACCTTGCTTCTGGGGTTGAAAGATTATATGTTGAAAGAATAATCTTCATTTCTTGTTCCTTCGAATGAGAATTCTTCGACAATCACGGATGAAGCTTTGGCTCAGAAAATCTCGATACAGTCTCCATGAGTCTCAGCTACATCTGAATTCACTTTTCAAGACAAAGAAAATTTTGAGATAAAAACAAAACTAAAAGAAAACTTAGCACACAATATTTTTGGATTTTTTTTTTCATGTTTTCTGAAAAAAATAAAACATAAATAAAAATATTTTTGGATTTTTTTTTAGATTTTTCTGAAAAATAAATAAAAAAACAGAAATAACACTATTTTTGGATTTTTGGTTTTCTGATTTTGGTTTGCTTTTTAAAAAATTTTAATTCTCCCCCTAAATTTGTGCATAGAGGAAAACTATGAACAAATTTAACAAAAGAAAAAATAATAGCTAAATTTAAGACTAATTTGGGATCAAAGTTGTCAGACAATTCAATATCGTTTATCAGCACACACCTACACGCTTCGATCTGGTCAATCACTGGTATTAATTTGTGCATGCTCTGATACCAACTGTAAGTCCCAAATTTTGCTTGATGTATCAATCAGATCCACTTGATGGTGCGGAATCCCAATCAAGTGGATGATGTAAGATCAAATATGCAAGAAGGAGAAGAGGAAGAAGATGAATCTATGATGTATTCAATAATATGAATGATGCTCCATACATATGAGATTCTCACACACACACACACTCTTCTCCTCTCTCACTTTCTCTCTCTAGAACACCTTGATTTACACACACTTAGCCCCCCTTTTTCTTATGACTCTACTGACACTATATATATATATATATATATATATATATAGGGAACAGTGCTGCAAACACGTTTACAACCGTAAATGTGTTTACAGCCGCAAACACACCCAACCGCAAACACCACATGAACCGTAAACCCAATTTTGTTTTCGGTTCTAGACCAAAAACTATTAAAGCCTAGAAAAGTAAAGTATAAACCATATTTTTAGACCCAACAATGAATATATATATATATATATATATATATATATATATATATATATATATATATATATAAGTTTACACTTAAATCGTAGTAAGTGTAGCCTAACTTACAGAGAGTTTCTAGCGAAAGCCGGAATTTGTTTTAGCAGAACTCCGGCTCGAGAGCTTCTACTTATGCGGCTCTCTGATGTCGTAGGGCCTCGCTAAAGTAGTCGGAAAATTGAAAATATAGGGGCTAGGGGTGCGTAATAGTTTCATAGGAATTTGGAGGTGAAAGGATGAGAGAATGAGCAACAAATCGCTGCTATTTATACAAACTTTTGGGAAGTGCGATGTGCTTCTTTCTTGGTGTGCCGTGTATTTCGGCCAACGTCTCTTCACTTGCTGCTTCGCACGTATCAGGTTAGGATTTGTCCGTGTGGATCCCTTCTAGAAGCGTGCTTCGCACGCTTTGCGTGCCGCACAAAACGAAGATTTTGTAAATTCTGTAACTTCTTCATACAAGCTCCTTTTTTGACGTTCTTTATATGCACACGTAACTATCGACGAGATATACAACTTTTATTTAGACTTCGTCGGCTAATTCTCATTTCATTTTTAAAGTTATAATTTTAAAGGGCTTGGACTGTTAAAACCCGTATAAAAATCATAATTGTTCCATACAACATCTGTTGGTTGTCCACGACATGGTGAAAGGATCACCATGATGTGGAATTTATGCATGGAACACGTATTTCTTTAACGACACCACGACGTGGCATGATGCTTGCCACGAAGTGGTGACAGCAAAAATTCAAAACCCTAATCTGCGGCTTAAGGCCCTATTTAAGGGAAGTAATGGCTAGGTGTAACATCCTAAATTTGAACTTTTTTAAATAACATAAATCATTCATTTAACATCTTTGATTAAGGATAAATTTAAAAACCAAATACCAAGATCAATCAATTAACAATTATAATTCCATAATTTATGAAAAAAATATATTCAAATTTCAAAACCAACATCCCAACTCGAGCCAATGTGTACAATCATGCCCTGTCATCCTGTGTACCTTAACAGTGCTTTAAATGGAAAAGGGGTAAGCAGAAATCTTAGTGAATTCCATATATATATATATATATATATATATATATATATATATATATATATATAGTATCATATCATATAATCATTACCCCTCTACACATATACAAACGGTATCAACACATAACCACACATACATGTCAAAGAATGAATCAGTAATAGACATACTCATACTGGGACACATTAGCTAGGCCTGATATCCCTTGCTCAATACATCGATCCCATGGGACACATTAGCTAAGCCCGATCCCTTGTACCCTAACCAATTGGGACACATTGGCCATGCCCGATCCCCCTTGTTCAGTTTGTCGAGCCTTTGGATACATTGGCTACACACGATCCCCACTCGGATGCGTCGAGTCCTACCATGCATAATCCTCAATACGTGAGGGAAACCACTAGACTCTACCCCGCCTAGTACTACCCGTATAAAGTGGTTTTTAACCTTAGCAATCTAACGAAAGTCGTAGTATACGTTAAACCAAGATCGTGCATAAAAAGAACGTCCAAATCTGACTTCGTATGAGGAAGTTATGAATTTTCTAAGATTTTGCATAGCAGTGTGCAAACCGGAGTTCGAATTATAGATTGAGTGATTTTTAGCCGACACAACCTAAATGAGAATTGAATATCATATTAATATGAGTTCAACGATAAAAAGACAGCTGAAAACGAAGTCCGTATGTAGAAGTTATGAGTTTTACACGGTCGTTTAGCAGTGTAATCTTCTCATACTGTTAAATTTAAAATCGGTTGAGAATTAGCCGACCGATTCTAAACGAAAGTTGTAGAGTTTGTTCCCACCTACGTGTGAATATAAAGAACGTCAAAAACGGAGCTCATATGCTAAATTTACGGGGTTTAGAAGTCGGCAGGGTGCTGCTGCGAAGTGGGTGACGTGGCGCGATCTGAGCCATTGCTTTCTCCCCACCAGATGACGAAATGTGGCACCAACTCGACAAGTTGGACCAACAACTCGACGAGTTGGGCCAGAAACTCGACGATTTCAGCACTTTTTCAGCCTATAAATACCACCCGAGAGTTCCTTCATTTTTCACACTTTTTACTCTTTCTTTCCCTCTATACTCACTCTCTAAACCTCCCAAAACATCCCCAAAAGCCTAGGAAACTTCCCTAGCACTCGAAGAAAGCCTTGAAGTGCCCGAAGGCTCCGAGAAAAGGAGTTTTTTGATTTGAAACTCTGCCCGCACAGAGCTCGATTTTCAAGCAAACCTCTCGGTTTCGTCAAAAGAGATTATTTTAAGAAACGAAGCACTGTCCAAATCACCACCTTATCAAGTGAGTGTATAGTCACTTTCATCTTACACATAAATATGAAGTATTTTATATAAATTACGTGTTATGTATATATATATATATATATATATATATATATATATATATATATATATATATATTCAGATCTGAACTTTTTCTTTCACTACTAGAAAAACAGCCTTTTACGACGTGCAAATAATGACACACACTGATAGAGGATGCGCATTTGTGCGTTCCCTAAAAATTAATGTTAGCTTTCCAAAATTTGAAGGATAAAAGACACGCATTTGTGTGTGCCCTAAAATTAGTGTGTCATCTACAAATGTGGCTTTATATTTTTTTAACTAAACGCGCGTTTTTAAAGAGGGATCCTCTAAAATTCTAAAATTTTGAATACCCCACTTCTCACTTCTGCACTCTCTCCTCTGGATCGCCTTATCTCTTGTAAAATCGCACAGAGCCATTCTCTCCCTCCTCTCTCTCTCTCTAACCCTAGACACAGCCACTGGCCATTCACGACGATGTCTTCTTACCCCTTCCTTCTTCCTTGCTCCATATTTTTGACCTTCGTTGGAGCTATCTTCTTCTCCCCCCCCCCCCCCCCCCCCCCCCCCCCCCCCCCCCCCAAACCACAACCTTATCCATTACCCTAAAAACCAGACTAATCTTTCACCTCTCATAATCTCTCTCATAACACTTAGGTTTTTGGCAATGAAAAAAATTGACCCCCTACTCCTTTGACGTGTTCTAATTTCTTACTGTATCTAGGTTAAAATCAACCATTGCAGCAGAGCATCTTCTCGTGTAGTGTTTAGAGGCATCGACATCTTCCAACCTTTCTCTGTATAGGCATCGACTCCAAGGTAAGAATAGGGTTCGACATCTTCCAAGGTAAGAATAGGGTTCTTCATGCCCTGTAATTTTAAAAATCATTACTTGACAGTTGGCATAAATAAACCGATCTTTACAAAACATATTGTTTATTTGATTTTAGTTTTCAGTGCTGATGGTAATAATGTTGCTGTAGCTATTTCGTTATTGTCAACAGCAGCCTGAAAAGTCAAAATGTTTGATTTGTCAAACATCAAAAAATTTGTGGATATGTCTTCTGTGTAGGTTTGTTGGGTGTGGGAGGTATAAAGAAGGGCATACAGTTGAACACTGGAAACAAACACAACACTGCTGCTCTCAGGAACTGGAAACACAACGTGTGTGGGATTATGTTGGTCTCTCTAGTGAAGATCTTTTATACCTATGGATGCGGAGTCCAGAAGACTAATTGACTGGATGAAGAAAGGTATACTGATTCATAAACATTCTCTAGTGTTTTTGAGCTTGAGTTTATATGTTTTTATTACTGATTCTTTCACGAGTTGTTTTTTTGTAGGTGTGTATGATGCTCTACAGAAGAAATATCTCAGGACACTAATGTTCTGTGTGTGCCAGACAATTGAAGGGCCAGTCATTGAAGAATATTCATGTAAGTAGCTGTTATAATATGAATGTGTAAGAGGAATTTTACTTTGCTTTAGTAAGATCTACAGATGGATCCCCTCACACAAATGACCACTTCCGACCAGTCCAGGTACTTCCATTTTTGTATTTAGAATTCTATTAACTATCCGAATATACCGAAGCATTTTTGATCAAACCCTGCTTCTCAATCTAGTTAATTTCTCAGTATTGTTTGCTTCAATTTAGAGCCAATAATTCCTCCACCACTCCTCTCTGTCGAATAAGATTGAGGTTACAAATGAAAGCTTAATTGTGGTTGATGCACATGATCGGATAAGGATAGTAATATGATCCGAAGACTCTGTACATGAATTAGTTATAATAATGACTAACACACAGTGTTTATGAATTTATAAGAAAATTGTATATTATCTATGCAGTTTTTTGCTGAATGACAACTATTATCGATTTGATTGATACTATTGGGCCAAAGATCTAAAGTTAACTGGTTCCATTTGTGGCTTTTGAATTCTATGATTGATGATCTGATTCCTTGTTTCGTTTCATAAAATCTAAGATGGTAATTGAGTTGCTTAAAGGCATTCATTTTGTTTCTTATGTGGAGGCCATTTCTCTTGGCGTTCAAGCCGGGACTCATCCTTGGATGTTATATGATATTATATCAAATGCTGCAGGAAACTCATGGTAGATTCAGTAACTGTTATCATCCAAACTCATTTTTGTTTTTAAGTAATTTCATAGTTGATGTTAAAGAATTCCAAACCTTATATAAACTTTGATCTTTTATTATACATTAGGTAACTTTCTTCCTTTCCAATATGCAGGATTTTCAAGAATTACATCCCCTATCTATTACAGGGGAAGAAAATCAAGGATGATTTCCTTAACACTTCAGTTCAAGATTTGGTAACTTACCTGAATCCAATGTTTCTAGCTTACATAGAAGGAACTGACACCGTAGTTTTTCCAAATTAAATTTTGTGTATTACAGGGGACTGTTTTAGACACAGCCAAGTCACTTATATTTCCTCTTCCACTCATGGTTGCTGCTCATCAACAATTCCTATAAGGTATGCTCTACATCAATAACATTATATGAATGCTAAAATCAAATGAATAATCAGTGATTCCTGTTTGTGTTCATATTGAACAGGCTGTAGACATGCAGATGCAAATGGTCTTGATGGTTTAAAGGTTCAGATTATACTATCATCTATCTGCTATCAGCCTTGTTTATTCTTTGTTTGAATGTTGATAGAGAGTGAAGTATCAAGTGTGTTACCCTGTGATTGATTGATTATAATTAAATTATAGGTGGGTCGTTCCGGAAGGTTTGGGTATCTTAGGTTGGCTGTGAATTTGATAACCTTTGAAGACAGATTTAACCTGTAAGTCTTCCTCCTGATAATATTAATTGGCATTACCAGATTTACCCCTATCTTTCTAACTCTGTGGTTTCATGGCTATTTATTAATGCTACAGGTATCAGATTGAGCAGGAGCTTGGAACCGAAATCAAACCTGCTGCCTTCATCATATACATACTATCATCTTCATCTTGGTCAGTAACAACTAACAACAACAGTTTTTTTTCATATTAATGATGCTTAAAACATATTTAAGAAAATGATGGATTGGAAACAAAAAAGTCAGGGGAAAATCCTTTTTCCTCTCCATTGACTCATTCTTTTTGCATTAAAAAGAAAATGATGGTGTTGTTTCTTTTTCAATTGATGGACTTAAGGATTTAAATATATTATTGACAATATTTATGTAGTATGAAATAAAGATGAAACATGTAAACAAAAAATAGTTATTTATATGTGGTAGGAAGCTCAGTAAATCCAAATATTAAGAAACTAATCCTCCGAGTTTGTACAAATGGAGTATTACATTGTGGATGATTTTGGTTATTATCATATATTGCAAATTATTAATGTAAAAGTACAATGTTAAGATTTCAATTTATAACTTTTTGTAAATGAACAGTCAATTATATATATATATATATATATATATATATATATATATTCAGCATCACTTCCTACAAAAGGGTAAAACAGTAATTTTCTTTTTCATCCTATATATATATATATATATATATATATATATATATATATATATATATTCAGCATCACTTCCTACAAAAGGGTAAAATGGTAATTTTCTTTTTCATCCTCAGTGTGTTCATTCAATCCAAAAATAGAAAGGAGCAAAGGATGATAGCAGATTACCTTTTGAGAAAGAGTACTTGGAGTGCAATTTACCTTTTGAGGTCAGTATTTAACATTCTGTAAAGATGAATTCTGGTTGAAGATGAAGAGTGTTATTGAAAGCCAATAAAAATACTGTCAAAGTTAAATGAACTTGCTGGCTTTGAACCTGATGAAATTATTTTTTGTAATTCCAAAAGTACTTTGATGGAGTTTACTGAAATAAAATTTGTTTTTATTTATTTGTCTACAGCCGTTTGGTTCGGACATGCCATACACTGCTATACAGTTCATGGTTCTGCAAAAAGTGAAAACTTTTGCTTCTGGGTCATCTAAGTCATGTCAGTGTTAAATTTTAAACTTTTAAAAGCATTTATCAAATAAGTGTAGAGGGGGTATTATGGTTCGAATGACACAGTGAAAACCAGAACACTTGAAGAATCCCAAAGCCAAAACACTTTATCATTTAAACTATAATACTAGCAAGTGATTAAACTTTTAATACACTTTATCAACCAACTGCAGATGCTGAAGGAGATGGGAATGAGTCTAATTCAACCATTTCTTCTGAGTCTGATGTTAATGGAGTTGTTAATGAAGAATCCCAAAGACAAAACAACAAAAGATCAGAGATGAGAATGCTTGGGTGCTAATATGGCTTATGTTAATCATTTCACTGTATGTATTAATAAAATGTTTCAACTTTAAGTGCTTACCTTTTAACTTTATGATTCATAACTCTTGATTTTATTTTAAAATGTAAATACAGAGGTGGGCTGTTGATTTGGTTATATAGTTAGGGAAAACCTCATATTAACAATGTATAATAAGATCCCGTTAATATCAATGAATTACAATTTTTTGACATGATTTTATTGGATGAAATTGATTGTTTTGGCATATATTTGTTTCTATATTTTTGTATTATGTGTAAATAAGTATCGTAAAGGCATTTTGTATATGCATATCGTAAATGGTTCTTGAAGTTTATGACACGCAAACGCGTGTCATCTTCATTTATGACAGGTGCTTTAATGATACGCAATGCGTGTCCTAAACGCGCGTCGTAAGGTTATGACACGCAAATGCGTGTCGTCTTCCTTTATGACAGGGCCTTCCTTGATACACATTGCGTGTCGTAAATGAGCGTCGTAAATGCGTGTCGTAAATGAGCGTCGTAAATGCACGTCGTAAATAGACGACGCGCAAAAGCGTGTCGTCTTTCGTTATGACAGGGCCTTCCTTGACATGCATTTGCGTGTCGTCTGAGCGTTTTACGACACGCATTGCGCGTCGTAAAAGGCTGTTTTTCTAGTAGTGTTTCAGATCTAAACTATTTCTTTCAGATCTAAACTTTTTCTTTTGGATCTAAACTATATATATATATATATTATACTTTGAGATATATGCTGTATGAAAGATTTAAACTTCGTTTTTCAGATCTGAACTGTATATGAATTTTATATCTATAAATATGTTGGGTAAAACATGGGTAGATGAGATAGTTTGTCACAACTAGCCTTTTTGCTAGGAAATTCTACTCTCATGTAATCATTCACCTAGTGTAATAACTTGTACTCTAGGTGAATACTACACCCTATTCTCGTTCAAATACATCTCAAATGTTTAAATAAGGGTTGGAAACCCTAGAAATCCTGGCTCAAGTTCATTATGGACTAGGATTCTCTTATTGGGCCTAAGGGATCAATAAATCATCAATTCATCAATCTATAACATTTTGGGCCATTTGGGCCTAGAATGATTCATTCTACCTCCAATGGGCCATGATGGGCCATAAACCCATTCCTTTTACCATTTTGGGCCGTGAACCTCCTTTAGGGCCCAATGGGCTGAAAGATATTATTAAGCTCCATGAATTCGAGCAAGCTAAGAAAAAGGAGCCCAAAACCATTTTATCTCCATCCTTAAGCCCAAAATCTCGGCCCAACTCCATTTGTAAAAAAAAGGGGGGGGAAGAGTCCATAATTGGTTGCCACCTCAAAATTACGTAACATATATCTATGTTATTATCTAACATGCATCAAGGAGAATGGAGTTTGTCCAACATACTTCTATACACCTCTCTTCTCTCCCCTCCCTCAAAACTCGGCCAAACCTCCTTCTCACCCCCACAAACCATTTCAATCTTAACTTCACTTCTCATTTCCTCTCAACTCTCAAGAACTCCTTCACCCATTTCCTCTAAAAACCGTGAGTGTGGAGTGTGTTTCAAGGAGCTCCCTTCAAGCCTTCATAACTTGGTAAGTTCTCATCAAACTCAAGATGTTCCATTTACAAACTATACTAAGATAATCCTTCTTACAGCTCCATTTTCGTGAATATGGAGCTTAGATCCACCACCATTTCGAGATTATCTCAAAGAACTCAAGCTAGGCTCAAAGATTCTTCTTCTTCTTCATCTACATCTCAAAACCCCCCAACGTGAGTTCATACCCCCTATTTTCGATTTTTACTTTGTTTTGGGGGAGAATACAAGTTGTGTTGTGTAGATCTATGTGTGTATGCATGAATATGTGTGTTTTTCATGATTTATTTGGTGGTTATGTGTTGTTTACTTCATAAATCTAAAAGTATGTTAAGAATATTAAGTTTATCACTTGGATCTACATGAAAACCTTGAGAAAAGTATGTGTTATCACATATAATACATGTAAAACTAGTAGATCTGGGATTTATACACTTAAAATAGTAAAAATGAGTGTTGTGTTCCAAGATCTATAAACTAAACTCAAAAATCAGTCTTTCACAGGAAATTTTTGGTCCAATCTCGAACTGTTTTGACCACCTAAATGAAAATATTTTTCAAAAATGTTTTTACATGCAAAAGGTTCAGGTTTCTACCTTTAAAATGACTACTCTCACGTTTTCATACGATTTTTCTACAATTTTTAGCGAATTTTACAAAACTGCCTATCAGATTTGAAATATTTTCGGACCAACCTGTGAAGGTGAGCAATTTCACAGTTGTTAGAAGCCATTAAAAATTATGAGAAAAATTGTGAACAAAGTAGACAAAATTTCCAAACTTCCAGAATTTACGGATCCAAATTTCGACTTATGGTGATTTTTCTACAAATTTTCCAACAACTAGGTCGGAAAAGCCCAAAACCAGAAAAATGTGTATTTTCACAAAAATCAAGCCAAAAAATGATATTTTTGACAAAAATGAGTTTAAAATGTTATTTTTACCACTAACCAGTCATCAACACAAGTTTGAACAAAATGGAGACTAAAGTGTTATTCTTACAAAAATTGGGCCTTAATTGTAAATTTTTGGCTTATTGGGCCAAGAACGTCATTTTTACAAAAAGTGGGCTTTTATGCTATTTTAGTGAATACTTGAACCAAAACCAATGATAAACTAACAAACGGATTAATTTGATCATTTTCTAGGTTATTGGGCCTTAGTGGCCCGTTTTTATGTGTGATAGGTCTTGTATACTATTTATATGTTTATTGGGCCTCATTGACCCATTAACATGTGTGACGGACCTTGGATACTATTTGTGTGCTATTTGGGCCTGTAAATACCTTACATATGAAATGGGCCTTAGTTGTCCTTTCATATATATTTCGGGCCCATGTTATATAATCTCATTCAAATTGGGCCTTGAAATGATTTACATGTTTAGCGATGCCTTAGTGGTTCACTTACATGGTTCATTGGGTCTGGAATGAGATTATACCTTTCTTCGCGTAAATTCGATTAAGGATCTACTGAGTTTTATCGGTTGACACCTATTAAGTGTTCGATCGTAGCCTGTAGTTATAACCAGAGTCTCTTGGAAGGAGAGCGGGGATTTGTGTATAGATCTATACGGGGATGACACCCCACACCTGAGCTGTTCGCTACAGTTAGACTAACTCAGTGTAGGGTGACGAAAACCTTATAATCAAAACCTTGTAATCAAAACTGGCGTCCAACAATGCCAAGACAGGCGAAATTGTCATTATTTAGTATGGTTATGACGGCTCACTTAGAGGAATTAACGTTATGAAGTTTACGGAAGACCATTCTCTTTTCTTTTGGATTACTCGGAAACATACTCGTACTGGTACTCAACCTCGGGGGTTGGTATGGCAGCTTTCTCTTTTACAGACAACATCGGGTTGTCTGGGAACATTCTCTATACATGCTCTTTACATTCTCTCTACATTCTCTTTGCCCTTTTAGTCAAATAAATAATAACATACATGCATTAATACAAGATCTGACACAAACATACTAAACAGTTTTCAGAAAATATAGGATTTTCTGGTGGTTTCAAAGTTATACAAATCATTTTCACAAACATGCTTATGAACTCACCAACATTTTTATGTTGACCTTTTTAAATTAACTTGTATTCTCAGGAAACCGTTGAAGCAGGATGAACGAAACAAACTAATGGATGTTGTGTTATATTTTGTTTCATCATACTCCGACTATTTTGGCATGTAATATTCAAATACAATACTCGATGTAAACAATGAATGTTGTTATATTAAATGTGTGATGATGATGATGCTATGTTTCAATTATATACTCTGTAATGATACTACAATGTTGAAAGTCACACCAAGCCCCCGGACGTTTCCGCCGTCTGGTTCGGGGGTCTGACAGATTGGTATCAGAGCATTGTTTATAGTGAACTAGCATATCTAATCATACAGGATATGCAACTATAAATACAATGGGACTAAACTACTCTGAACATAATAATTAAAATACATACTTATGTGTGTATTTTAGATTAATAACACAACAAGAACAGTAAAAGTCTTTGGAGGATTTAAACATCGCTATTAAACCCGGACAGTTATGTAGTCGTATTGGGGGTGAATGTAGCCTGATCAACTACATTCATTTAAAATACGACCAACATGTGTTCGGGAGTAATCGTGATGGACAATGAATCAAAAACTTACCACCTAATTATCCAAAGGGCTTATAGAACCAAACCTAAACAAAATTAAAATACTATAGGAGTATTTGGTGTGCTATTTGTTTCTAGTATTTATACAACTTCGTGCAGACACTATGGTCGGGTACCATTAGCCAGGAAACCCCTATCTCCCTAGTTAGGGAAAAACAGGGTGGCTCGACCCAGAGGAAGAACCAGAGGAGAAACATGAAGTAGAACTTACAGATAAATCCGACGAGCCAGTAGTGAACCTCGAAGAGCTCAAGGGCAATGACGATGATGCCTCAGATGCAGAATCCGAAGTCATCAATCCTCTATTATATGGCCAGAGTACTGACTTATCGTATGGACCCTGGTGGCCCCACGCCTCATAGGCACTCGATATTGGAGATAGATTCGCCAGCAGGGGATACGACCACCCTACGACATGACCCGAGATCTTTTCAATCTTAGTCATGGAGGACCAGCTAACCAGCCCCCCCAGTCATGGTCCGACACACTCGAGACATTGGCAACCAAGCTCAGGACACCCCAAATCAAACGGACCAAATGCGGTTGCTGTTGAGAGAGATGAGAGACAAACACAGGAGGTGAACGGAGACTCCCGAGCAAGACAGTTAGTTTGGGAGGTACGACTACTAGATACCGAGCGACAAGTAGCTCATCTCCGAGGTGCATCCACTTCATCAGAACCACCAGCAGACACCTTCCGCCACGATTAGGATCAA